TACATGGATCAGTCGTCCTGGTCCCTTTGCGACGAAACAGCCCCAAAGCATGATGTTGCCACCCCCATGCTTCACAGTAGGTATGGTGTTCTTTGGATGCAACTCAGCATTCTCTCTCCTCCAAACACAACGAGTTGTGTTTGTACCAAACAGTTCTAGTTTGGTTTCATCTGACCATATGACATTCTCCCAATCCTCTTCTGGATAATCCAAATGCTCTCTAGCAGGCTTCAGATGGGCCAGGACATGTACTGGCTTAAGCAGGGGGACACGTCTGGGACTGCAGGATCTGAGTCCCTGGCGGCGTAGTGTGTTACTGATGGTAGGCTTTGTTATCTTGGTCCCAGCTCTCTGCAGGTCATTCACTTGGTCTCCCCGTGTGGTCCTGGGATTTTTGCTAACTGTTCTTGTGATCATTTTGACCCCACGGGGTGAGACCTTGCGTGGAGCCCCAGATCGAGGGAGATTATCAGTGGTCTTGTATGTCTTCCATTTTCTAATTATTGCCCCCACAGTTGATTTGTTCACACCAAGCTGCTTGCCTATTGCAGATTCAGTCTTCCCAGCCTGGTGCAGGTCTACAATTTTTTTTTTTCTGGTGTCCTTCGACAGCTCTTTGGTCTTCACCATAGTGGAGTTTGGAGTGTGACTGAGGTTGTGGACAGGTGTCTTTTATACTGATAACAAGTTCAAACCGGTGCCATTGATACAGGTAATGAGGGCAGGACAGAGGAGCCTCTTAACCCTTTGAGGACCATAAGATTACGGAACGCCAAAAGAATCAATTTTTTGTTTTTAAAGTTCGTACACTTCAGTTGCTGTAACTAAGCCATTTCATGAAATAATTGGCAAAAAGCTAGATCCGTTTGTTGATGAGAACTAATATTTTGACTCAAACCAAAAAAAAAAAAAAGTATTTTAAGTTCTTAATCAGATGATACAGGCAATTAAAAACATGGGACAAATACGTCCCTTGGTCCTCAAAGGGTTAAAGAAGAAGGTACAGGTCTGTGAGAGCCAGAAATCTTGCTTGTTTGTAGGTGACCAAATACTTATTTTCCACCATAATTTGCAAATAAATTCTTTCCAAATCAGCCAATGTGATTGTCTGGATTTTTTTTCTCATTTTGTCTCTCATTGTTGAGGTCTACCTATGATGCCAATTACAGGCCTCTCATCTTTTTAAGAGGGAGCACTTGCACAACTGGTGGCTGACTAAATACTTTTTTGCCCCACTATATGTTTGATTACAGTTCATTCTAAAATTTCAATCTACTTTTTACAGGTATGTACTAGATATTCTCTGTATATGGTATTTTTTCCAGCTACAGTCAGGTCCAAAAAAAATTGGGACATCTACACAATTCTAACATTTTTGGCTCTATACACCACCACAATGGATTTGAAATGAAACGAACAAGATGTGCTTTAACTGCAGACTGTCAGCTTTAATTTGAGGGTATTTACATCCAAATCAGGTGAACGGTGTAGGAGTTACAACAGTTTGCATACGTGCCTCCCACTTGTTAAGGGACCAAAAGTAATGGGACAGAATAATAATCATAAATCAAACTTTCACTTTTTAATACTTGGTTGCAAATCCTTTGCAGTCAATTACAGCCTGAAGTCTGGAACGCATAGACATCACCAGACGCTGGCTTTCATCCCTGGTGATGCTCTGCCAGGCCTCTACTGCAACTGTTCAGTTCCTGCTTGTTCTTGGGGCATTTTCCCTTCAGTTTTGTCTTCAGCAAGTGAAATGCATGCTCAATCGGATTCAGGTCAGGTGATTGACTTGGCCATTGCAGAACATTCCACTTCTTTCCCTTAAAAAACTCTTTGGTTGCTTTTGCAGTATGCTTTGGGTCATTGTCCATCTGCACTGTGAAGCGGCGTCCAATGAGTTGTGAAGCATTTGGCTGAATATGAGCAGATAATGTTGCCCGAAACACTTCAGAATTCCTCCTGCTGCTTTTGTCAGCAGTCACATCATCAATAAATACAAGAGAACCAGTTCCATTGGCAGCCATACATGCCCATGCCATGACACTACCACCACCATGCTTCACTGATGAGGTGGTATGCTTAGGATCATGAGCAGTTCCTTTCCTTCTCCATACTCTTCTCTTCCCATCACTCTGGTACAAGTTGATCTTGGTCTCATCTGTCCATAGGATGTTGTTCCAGAACTGTGAAGGCTTTTTTAGATGTCGTTTGGCAAACTCTAATCTGGCCTTCCTGTTTTTGAGGCTCACCAATGGTTTACATTTTGTGGTGAACCCTCTGTATTCACTCTGAAGTCTTCTCTTGATTGTTGACTTTGACACACATGCACCTACCACCTGGAGAGTGTTCTTGATCTGGCCAACTGTTGTGAAGGGTGTTTTCTTCACCAGGGAAAGAATTCTTCGGTCATCCACCACACAGTTGTTTTCCGTGGTCTTCCGGGTCTTTTGGTGTTGCTGAGCTCACAGGTGCGTTCCTTCTTTTTAAGAATGTTCCAAACAGTTGTTTTGGCCATACCTAATGTTTTTGCTATCTTTCTGATGGGTTTGTTTTGTTTTTTCAGCCTAATGATGGCTTGCTTCACTGATAGTGACAGCTCTTTGGATCTCATCTTGAGAGTTGACAGCAACAGATTCCAAATGTAAATAGCACACTTGAAATGAACTCTGGACCTTTTATCTGCTCATTGTAATTGGGATAATGAGGGAATAACACACACCTGGCCATGGAACAGCTGAGAAGCCAATTGTCCCATTACTTTTGGTCCCTTAACTAGTGGGAGGCACATATGCAAACTGTTGTAATTCCTACATCATTCACCTGATTTGGATGTAAATACCCTCAAATTAAAGCTGACAGTCTGCAGTGAAAGCACATCTTGTTCGTTTCATTTCAAATCCATTGTGGTGGTGTATAGAGCCAAAAATGTTAGAATTGTGTCGATGTCCCAATATTTATGGACCTGACTGTATATCAGCCAGACCAGACTCAGGATTTTAGTTTTTGGCTCTGTTAAACATAAGTTATTGCCTTGCTGTTGTCTAGTGACTCTGCATCTAATATGTTCAGCTATTTCCATATTCAATGATCTTCTAAGTAAGGTACCTTGACTTCCACCAGTGGTCACTAGCCTGATGTGTTCAGAGACTAAACTTAGCCATGAAGACTCAGTTGCAGTCCATGAATCGTGTTGTTGTGACAACTCGTCATCCATATTTAATGTTTACAAAACAGTTTTGGCAATACATTTGTCAAATATGTTCCTGTTAACCAGTTACCTATAATAAACCCTATAGTGCCGTCAAGTTACTGGCTGTTACCGGCAACTGCATGAGATTCAAAGACTTCACTAATCAATCCACCATGACCTACATCTAATTCACAAGTGCTGTTTCATGTTACTGGCTTGCATCCCACTGACCTTTTTTTTAAAAACTGCACGACCTGATCAGATTAAAAGTGAAGAGCATGTGCACAAAAGGTGAAGAAGACAGATCATTTGCACCTTTTTATAAAGTGTTGTGTAAATAAAATGTTTACTTTGTCATCTATGCTTTTTTAGCATGTGTAAAGTGTAAAATATGTTAGCTTAAAATAAATGTTATTGCTTTTTTAATATCTTTGCTTTACAGTTTTTTGTTTTTTTAAATGTGGTTTACATTTACTCTTGGTTTTCCAAAAAAATACCGACATCTAGTATCTTGCAATTGATGCAAGTACCTGGATTTGACTATGGGATATCGGCATCATTCACTACCCTGTACAGCTGAGCTCACACTATGAGAAGAAAAGCAGCACAAGTAGCAAATCAGTTGTGCAGCAGTGCTCATGTGCTAAGAAGGGACATCCTGATAGGAGGGTGGAGCAGTGTAAAAGAGAGATGAGCTTATCAGTCTGCTGCTTTTCCTTCACTATCTAGTCAATGACTGGGGGCAGGGCAAGTCCTAGTTGTATTACTTGCAGTTGAAAACGTCAGATCTCCAGGCTGGCTGTGGTGTCTGACAAGGATGTGTAAATCTCAGGAATGAGTAGACAGAAGTCGTTTGGAAGGTAAAACCGCTCTATTCTATATGTATATTGAGCAGTTTGGATAAAGTTCAACTTTAGGAAGGAATTTACCCCCCCCCCCCCCCCCAAAGACACACGCACTCTTTTTGCCCCACCCGTTCCTTAGCTGTGACTCTGGCTCTCATCAGAAAGCATATTCCCTGTCCAGCCAATCCAGAGTTGTCCTGTGATCCTCTGGTCAGGTGTCACAGCCTGTATCCCATGCTGTCATGGTGCTTTCAGTTATTAGGATCCTAGCTGCCTCTTCAAGGTTCAGATATCCAAGTCTCCCCACCCCCTTCTACTGCCATTCTGTAAACAGGCTACTGCAGCCTCTTGGAAACAGGAAACATCCCAGGAGGCTGTAGGAGTAGAAAATGCCATTCTCACCTAGGCTAGAATGGTGGCAGGGGCAGATCCACAGAACAAGCCTGAAAAACCCTATTGCTGAGATAGTAGAGGGGTGGCCCAGCACTGAATTAAAGTCCTTTTCCTGGGTGAAGTGTAGGTGTTGTCTAACATATATGTTTTTCCAATCTGTGCACTCCTAACAACTTTGAGAGGGTGAATCCTGCTCCTATAATGAATGATTGGTTGGCTTATCATAAAGCCCAGGTTCCTGCATCTAAATGAGCCAAAACTGAGTATTAAATTGAACTACCTTTCTCCTGGCCACTGCATATAAACAGGTGGGGGGCTAGCTTTGTCCATTCGGGAGGACATACCCATACATCCTGCTGCTCGCATGGGCATCCTCTGTGATCACTATGGCCTTCAGACATCACAGATCATGTTAAGGGCCATTAAAATTGGGCCTGTACCACGTGACCAATCATAGTGATCACACTTGTAAATAAAGGCTACACGATTGTAGCCTTTGAGCTGTTTCCTCACAGCGATTGTATGTAAGAAGGAATATATTGTTTACTACAGTTACCAGAAGCAGTCAGTGTAAAAGAAAAAAAAAAAAATCGTCTACCCCTAAGCAACGCCGTGTCTCTAGGCTGACCATGTACTCTTCTGCTGTCTGGTGAGCAGAGACACTGGCTGCTACACTGATGACCATGTATGCCTGTGCTGCAGCTAGAGTCTGTTTAACCGCCTCCCACCCACCATATAAGGAAATGACGGGCGCAAGGTGGTTCTCTCGTTCTGGGAGAACGTCCTCCCACTCTAACTGTGCCTGTGCAGCGATCGGTGGTGCGCTGTGTCCCTGGGACACAGCGGATCACCGATCAACGGGAAGAGCCAAAGATGTCGGCTCGGTCATGTGATCAGCTGTGTCCAATCACAGCTGATCATATGTAAATAGGGAAATGCCGGTTATCGGCATTTCTCTCCTCACGAGCTGTCATGCTGACAGCTCGAGAGGAGAGCTGGTAATCAGCATTACTCACAGGGGATATATACACTGATCATCAGGGCACTGATGATCACTGTAGCCCCAGCAGTGCCACCTGTCAGTGCCCATCAATGCCACATACCAGTGCCTACCAGTGCACATCGATGCCACATATCAGTGCCCATCGGAGCTGCCTTTCAGTGCCGCCAATCAGTGCCTGTCAGTGCTGCCTAGCAGTGCTGCATAACAGTGCCAGTCAGTGCCACCTAGAAGTGCCATATGAGTGCTGCCTTTCAGTGCCTATCAGTGATGCCTGTCAATGCCCATCAGTGCCCATCACTGCAGCCTCATTAGCTCACATCAGTGAAGGAGAAAAATCACTTATTTACAAAATTTTATAACAAAAACCTAAGAAAAAACTTTTTTTTTTTTTTCAAAATTTTCAGTTGTTTTGGTTTGTTTAGCAAAAAATAAAAAACTCAGAGGTGATAACATACCACCAAAAGAAAGCTCTATCTGTCTCAAAAAAATTCAAAAAATTTCATATGGGTACAGTGTTGCATGACCGTGCAATTGTCATTCAAAGTGCAACAGCGCTGGAAGCTGAAAATTGGCCTGGGCAGGAAGGGGGTATAAGTGCCCTGTAGGCAAGTGGTTAACAGCCATAGCAATACAATGTCACCATTGTGACTTTTTTTTTTCCACATATTGTTACCAGAGCAGTGTAAAGTCACCACTGTTGTCTGTGCCACCACCCATTGTCTCTGATCACCATCACAGCAATACAATGTCACCAAGCCAGTGCAGCCAGTCAGTGTCCCAGTCATCACCATGCCAGTCCCAGTGTCACCATTAGGCTTTGTTCACAAGTGCGGTGTTCTCTGAGCGTGTTTTAGATCGCTCTTCAGAGAGCATTTGACAGGCAGTGATGAAGCATAGTATCACCTTATCACTACCTGCTTTAGCCCCTTGGACCCCACACAAACTCCCCATGTACTTGAATGGGTCGTGATCAGATGAGGTATGAGCAATGAGGTATAATTTCCGCCACAGTTGCGGAGCAATGCATTGCAGCTGTGGCATGTGTACATTTATTTTATTATTTATTACAGGTACTTATATAAAGCTGTCAATGTATGCAGCACTTTACATATTTATATTGTATATCCCCAGAGTCTACCTCTGCAGCTAAAGGGTGTAGCGGTTGGGGGGGTCCAGTAAAACCTTGGGTCATCCACAAGGTTTTATCCCCCCACACCACCACCACTGCCACCTCACATGTGAAAGCATCCTACTGGTGCAGCCACTCAGTGTCTTTGATCATCACCACTCTATTCAGTGTTGCCAGACCAGTGTAGCTAGCAACAGTTTTCCTGATCACTGCCACATCACTCCCAGTGTCACCAGACCAGTGTATGCTAGTAACAGTGCTCTTTATCTCTGCCACACCATTCGGAGTGTCATCCAACCAGTGTAAGCCTGCCCAAATGTTCCTGGTCACCACCACACCAGTCCCAGTGTCTCCAGGCCAGTGTATACTAGCAACATTGTTCCTGATCACTGCCACACCAGTCCCAGTGTCATCAGACCAGTGTGTACTAGCAACAGTGTTCCTGATTGCCACCAGACCAGTGCAGCAAGCAACAGTGTCCTTGATTACTGCCCATATCAGTCCCAGTTTCGCCAGAGCAGTCTAAGTCAGTGACTGTGTTCTTGGTCGCTAGCTACCCCAGCCCCAGTGTTACCAGACCAGTGTAAGCCAACAGCAGTGTTCCTGATTACTGGCCCCCCAGTGGCAATGTCACCAATCCAGTGCAGTCAGTAACAATGTTCCTGATTGCTAGCCACACCAAAGCCAGTGCAGTCATCAGCAGTGTTCCTGATCACCATAACAGCATTACAATGTCAAAGGAGCCAGTAACAGTGTTGCTGATCACTTCCACACCAGTGCAGTGTTACCGCTGCCTGTAGTGACCCTGGCCTGTCTATTGATCATGTTGCTGTCTGGACCAATCCTTTGCCTGTCTGCTAACCATGTCTCTGCTTGCCAGCGGAACTGACCCATATGCATGTCCCACTGACTAGGTTTCTGTGAGACACCAATCCCAGTGATCCTCTGGGAACAATTGCACTCATTGAACCACAGGAACTTTTTGTTTTTCCTTTCTTCAGCCTCCTGTACCTCCTGGCCAGTGAACATGGCTTTCCTGTGGGCAGCCACTTACTGGTAGCCTAGGCTTGTTTGGCTTAAAGAAATGAGGACTGCTATTGGTAATGCTACATTAAGCTATATTCCCTGGTCATTTGTACAGAGGCATCCATTACAGTACACTGGCTTTGATACAATTGTTTGATTTTTGTGATACAAAAGATGCACTGTCTGGTACATAATCAGTCCAAACATTGAAAACGTCTCACATATGCTATCCCAAATACTTGGGAGGAATATCAGAATGCGTTTTGAGATATAATTCATGACCATGCTGTGTGTGAAATCTATCTAATAAATTGACAACTTTGTATAAAAAAAAACATTTTCCCCCCCCACATTTTCCAAAAACTTGTGGCAAAAAATGAAGTCTTCAAAAGATGACCAGAGACTGCGGACATGGTGCAGGAAATGACCAGAGACTGCGTACAGTGCAGGGGATGACCAGAGACTGCAGACACAGTATAGGAGATGACCAGAGACTGCGGACACAGTGCAGGAGATGACCAGAGACTGCGGACATAGTACAGGAGGTGACCAGAGACTGCAGACATGGTGCAGGAGATGACCAGAGACTGCGAACACAGTACAGGAGATGACCAGAGACTGCGGACATGGTACAGGGGATGACCAGAGACTGCGGACATGGTGCAGGGGATGACCAGAGACTGCGGACAGTGCAGGGGATGACTAAGAGACTGCTGACCTTTGGGGAGAGAGGGGGAGTGGGTACCTAAATTTGACAGGTACCCGCTCCCACTTCCGCGGAGTTGTCCTCCCTTTAGTGTGGGAACCTGACTGACAGCCGCGTGCCCAGTGCGCATGCGTGAGAAGCACTGTGCTTTGTGATGGACCTGTCATGTGTCCCAGAAGACGCTATACCATTCACAAAGCGCAGCACTTCTCGCGCATGTGCACTGGGCACCTGGCTGTCACAGCCGAGAGCCCACACTAAAGAAGCCAGCGTGGGAAAACTGCGCAGCGCTGGACCGAGGAACAGGTAAAGTTCTGCTGCAGAGAAGAGCTGAGCGGCCGGCCCGGGATTCTGACACGGTGACGGTGGAAATACTGGACCGGCCGCTCCATATTCGCTCCATAAGACGCACTGACATTTTCCCCCCTTTTTGGGGGGGGAAAAAGTGCATCTTATGGAGCGAAAAAATACGGTAAGTATTTTATCCCCAAGAAAAACATGACAGTACTTTTTAGAGAAACCCTTGTTGGCAAGCACAGAGGGTAAGATGTTTCTTGTAGTTGGTTACTAGGTTTCCACATATCGCGAGGGATTTTGGTCCACTCTTCTTGACAGATCTACTCTAAATCCTTAAGGTTTCTTTGCTCTCTCTTGGCAACTTGAAGTTTCAGTTCCCTCCATACATTTTCTATAGGTTTAAGGTCTGGAGACTGACTAGGCTTCTTCTCGGGCCACTCCTTTGTTGCCTTGGCATGTCATGCTGAAAGACCTATCCACAACCCATCTTCAGTGTTCTGGCTGAGTGAAGAAGGTTCTCATCCAAGATTTTGCCCCTCAATGTGTCAGTTGGCCTTTACCTTTTAGCAGAGAAACAGCCCCAAAGCATAATGTTTCCACCTCTGTGCTTGACTGTAGGGATGTTTTCTTAGAGCCATAGTCAGCATTTTTCTTCCTCCAAACACAGCGAGTGGAATTAATGCTAAAGAGCTCAAGTTTGGTCTCATCTGACCACAGCACTTTCTCCCAATCCTTCTTTGAATTACTTAGATGTTCATTGGCAAACTTCAGACGGTCTGTACATGTGCCTTCTTGAGGAGGTGGACCTTTAGGGTGCTGCAGGATTTCAATCCATGACGACTTGTTACCAATAGTTTGTTTGGTGAATGTGGTCCCAACTGCCTTGATGCTCCTCCCATGTAGTTCTGTGCTAATCCCTCACTTTTCTCATGATCATCCTTACCCCTGAGGCAAAATCTTGCATGCAGCTCTGGACCGAGGGCGGTTGATGGTTATTTTGTATTTCTTCCATTTGTGAATAATGGCTCCAACAGTTGCCTCCTTCTCATCAATCTTCTTGCTGATGCTCTTGTAGCCCATTCCAGCATTGTGCAGGTCTACAATCTTGTCCCTTACATCCTTTGACAGCTCTTTGGTCTTGCCCATGGTGGTGCCCAAGAAAGAGATTCTGTGGGCAGGTGTCGTTTGTACACATAACAAGTTGTCATTAGGAGCACCTTCTAATTGACAGGAATAATCTGTGTACCACATGAGCACATAGAGAGTCTGTGGGAGCCAGAATTATTGTTGGTTGGTAGGGGAACAAATATTTCTTTTACTCACTGAACTGCAACTCAATTTAAATTGTGTTTTTTTGGTTGATATTCTGTCTCTATCATTTAAAAAAACCACCTATGATAAAAATTATAGACCCTTAATTTCTTTGTAAGTGTGCAAATTTACAAAATCTGCAGGGAATCAGATAATTGTTTTCCTCACTGTACATGCCCCTAGAGAGCATTAAAGTGCTCCTTGGATTTTTGTCCTCTGTCAATGTGGTATTTTCATAATCAGAAATACACCAAAAAACACATTCTGCAACTCCTAAGTATGCCCTTGTTGTGTGTAGGAAATATCTTATTAATTGGCAATTTAAAGACATTTCCATTTTCTTTCTGCATGTTCCAAAAACTTTTAGCAAAAAAAAAAAAAAACTTTTCAAAAGACTCATTATGCCTTTCAGAAAATACCTTGCGGTGTTTACTTTCCAAAATATGGTCATTTTGTGGCAGTTTCTCCTGTCCTGGTACTTCAGGGACTGAAGAAATATAATAGGTATTCAGGAAATTAGACGTGTAATTTATGCTGTTTAAAAGCCCAAAGGTGCTTCTTGGATTTTAGGCCCCTCTGTGCATCTAGGCTGTGAAAAAAGTCACACGTGTGCTATTGCCATACTTTGCAGGCATACCATAACGTGTCTTGGGTATAATTGTAAGTATGCCTATGTTGTGAAAAATAGCTTGTTAAAATGTCTTCTTTGTGGAACAAAATCTATTTTTTCATTTTCCAAAAAAATACAACTTCAAAAACCCACCATGCCTCTTAGCAAATACCTCAAACTGTCTACTTTCCAAAAAGGGTTCATTTTTGTACTGTATCTGTACTGTTGGCATTTTATGGACTCAAGAAATGACATAGGCAGTCAGTACATCAGAACTGATGAATTTTATACACACACACGGAACACTTTTTAATCAGAGTATAGCATCAAGTCAATTAAACTCCTGGGATATTGATCTGGTCAGTTCAGTAGCAAAGGGGGTTGCTAATCAGTTTCAGCTGCTTTGATGTTAATGAAATTAACAGGTGCATTATATGGGCAACAATGAGATGATCCCCAAAACAGGAATGGTTTTACAGGTGGAGGCCACTGACATTTTTTTCCCTACTCATCTTTTCTGACTGTTTTTCACCTGGACCCTACAGAGGTTGCACAGGCAGTCCAACCCCTCCAGGACGGCACGTCAATACGTGCCATTGCCAGGTGGTTTGCTGTTCCTCCCAGCACAGTCTCAAGAGCATGGAGGAGTTTCCAGGAGGCAAGCAGTTACTCTAGGAGAACTGGACGGGGCCATAAAAGGTCCTTAACCCATCAGCAGGGCTGGTATCTGTGCCTTTGTGCAAGGAGGAACAGGATGAGCACTGCTAGAGCCCTACAAAATGACCTCCAGTAGGCCACTGGTGTGAATGTCTCTGACCAAATAATTAGAAACAGACTTCATGAGGCTGGCATGAGGGCCTGATGTCCTCTAATGGGCCCTGTGCTCACTGCCCAGCATCATAGAGCTTGATTGGCATTTGCCATTGAGCACCAGAATTGGCAAGTCCGTCACTGACGCCCTGTGCTTTTCACAGCTGAGAGCAGGTTCACCCTGAGCATATGTGACAGACATGAAAGGGTCTGTAGAGGCTATGGAGAACATTATGCTGCCTGTAACATCGTTCAGCTTGACTTTTGGTGGTGAGTCAATGATGGTCTGGGGAGGCATATCCATGGATGGATGCACACACCTCTACAGGCTAGACAATGGCTCCCTGACTGCCATTAGGTATCGGGATGAAATCCTTGGATCCATTATCAGACCCTACTCTGGTGCAGTGGGTAGTGGGTTCCTCCTTGTACATGACAATGCCCAGCCTCATGTGGTGAGAGTATACAGGCAGTTCCTGGAGGATGAAGGAATTGATACAATTGAATGGCCCCCACACTTGCCTGACCTAAATCCAATGGAACACCTCTGGGATATCATATTTCGGTCCATCTGACGCTGCCAGGTTGCATCTCAGACTGTCCAGTAGCTCAGTGATGCCCTGGTCCAGATCTGGGAGGAAATACCCCAGGACAGCATCTGTCATCTCATTAGCAGCATGCTCCGATGTGGACAGGCATACAAGCACGTGGAGGCCATACAAACTACTGAGTACTGTTTTGAGTTGCTGCAATGAAATTTCAGCAAAATGGACTAGCCTGCTGCATCATTTTTTCACTTTGATTTTCGGGGTGTCTTTGAATTCAGTCCTCTGTAGATTGATAATTTTCATTACCATCAAACGATGGGGCATCCTTACATTCCTAACACATTACCCATTCCATATCAGTATAGATATCCAGCATGAAATTTTTCCTCATTTAGATCTGATGTGTTCCTTTAATTTTTTTGAGCAGTGTGTATATATATATATATATATATATATATATATATATATGTGTGTTATAGTTTGTAGACTCTATGGGGGAGATTTACTAAAGCTGGTTTACTCAAAATCTCGTGCACCTGTGCATGGTAGCCAATCAAATTCTAACCCTCAGCTTGTTCAATTAAGCTTTAGTAATAAATCCTGGAAGCAAATTGGTTTCCATGCAGAGGTGCACGAGATTCTGATTGAATCAGCTTTAGTATATATACCCCTATAACTTTCACAGACTAAATAATATGCAAATATTGTATTTTTTTTATTGTGCTCAATATGTTTTGCAAAAAAATTTCTTATGGTTCCAATAATATTTTAAGTATAATTCCCATTCTGGGAATTGACAAAACTATCTATGATTCTATGTCATGTGTTACAATAACCCATCCGTCTGTACTACAGCAAAATCTTTTGCTGGAAAAAACTGACTACTTGAGCACCAGATTCAGAGATTCATTGTTGTCTTCAGCCTTTTACATGTGATAATGTAAGGATCAATTATGTAGGAGACATAACCCCTTTATGAAAAACCTACAGCTAAACATGATGAATAAGCAACTAAAGGAAAATGAGGAAATCAGGAGCGTCTCTCAAATAACAACTCCCAAACCTGTCTCTGAGACAGGCACACCCTAATTTACACAACACATCCATGAGACAGTGTTCTTCAAAGCAGAACAGTATGAAGGATTCCAGTGATGATGCACATAGAATTTTATCTCCTAAGTTTGTCTTTAATGCAGGGCTTCCACTGCAACATGCAGGCAACAGTAAATGTCCAACTTAGAGATCATGGCTATGAAAACATACTTATAGCTATTCATTCACAAGTTCCAGAGAATCCACAGATCATCACTAATCTCAAGGTAAGAGACTTTCCTGATGTTTTCATTGATTAACAATGTTGTGTTTCCATAGCATGTATATATGAAGAAGACCTCTGCTCTAACGATATTCCGCTGAGAAATCTGGATGTATCTAGCTAATTACCATGTCTAACTAGTAAAGTGAAGTAAGGTGCTATCTATAACTATAAGAGGCACAGACCAGGTTTAGGGTACATTTACCCACCATTTAGGGGTTGATTTACTAAAAGCAAATAGGCTGTTCACTTTAAAAAAAGAAAGTTGCACTATGCAAGGGAATTTTCCCTAGAGCTTGGCGAATGTGTATCACTTTGCAAAAAATACCTAATCAAGTTCAATACAAATGGAAAAAAATGAACATTTTTACTTGCACATGACTTAATGATGGCAGTCAACATAGCATCACCGCAGTGTGCAACTTCCAAAGTGAAAAGCCTATTTGCCTTTAGTAAATAAACATTGTCTTGTGTAGTTGAAATCTGTATAGTAATTGCCTGCCATCTGTCCTTGATGCTTTGTTAGACATACAGGGGTTTATTTACTAAAGCTGGAGAGTGCAAAATCAGACTCACTTCTGCATAGAAACCAATCAGCTTCCAGGTTTCATTGCCAAAGCTTCATTGAACAAGCTGAGGTTAGAAGCTGATTGGTTTCTATGCAGAAGGGAGTCTGATTTTGGACTCTCCAGCTTTAGTAAATAAACCCCACAGTGCCTGAGTAATTATCATGTTGCGCTGCTTTCATGTTACCATGTCATTTTTGTAGCAATAAAAATGCTTTTCTGCTTGTGACCACCACAAAAAAGTGCAATCATCCCTCCAAGAAAGGCCCTCCATAATGCCCAGCAGCTCTTGTATGAAAAATGGGGGTTCGTGTGCAGGGGCGGACTGACCATTTGGAAACTCGGGCACTGCCCAAGGGCCCGGGGTCAGTAGGGGGCCCCATGCGATGCCCCTGGTACCTTTTTCATAGGCTTTTTTGAGTTTGGGCAAGGACACAGGGGCCCCATGATCCCCTATTGCCCAGGGTCCCCATCGTTTTTTCAGTCCACCCCTGTTCGTGTGCCACCTTTCTGCCCCCATGGCAGACAAGTAGGTTGCAGCCCCATACCCTATGTTTTGTAAAAGATGTCATCAAAGCCTCTACCAAATGACTGTCTGTATTTGAAGCAAAAATATTTAAACTTGAACTGAATAGTGACCAAGGGTGACTTAAGCTTTCATTCTCATTGACTATTGATCCATGCAAACAGCTTCTCTTTTGCTATTAAAATAAACATTAACAAATGTAATTGATAACCTGATCTGTTGGATTCCTTCTACTACTAATTGTGGACATCTCTTTGAGTTATAAGACCCCCATAGCAGTGATTGAAAACCAGGGCTAGATAAAGAACGTAAAATTCAGCAATTCGTACGCCAAATCAACGAGACAGTGGATACTTTTAAAGGACAAGTATTTAAATTTTTTTCTTTTATACTACTGCATGTTTCACATTTACTAAGAATTCACTGTGATCTCTAGGTTACTTTGTCTTTTTTTGGAAGAATGGATTTACTGCTTTGCTGTGGTATGAGCAGATCTCAATAGCAAGAGCTCAGAATACACATAGCTGATGTGTTAGATGAGGTACAACCCATCTCCTTTCCCTTCTCTGTACATACTGCCCTGGCTGGACTTTCAGCTATGTTAAGACCATCAAAACTCGAGCAGTTAGTACTGGGAGTGCTCTTTGAAGAGCCCTAATTATTTAAAGTGTTACTAAACCCACAACCGTAAAATCAGTCTATATATGCAGTAAAGCATGCTTGTTATACGCACTGTGAAATCTAAGGGGTTAATCGTCGGCATTGTATACAAAGGTTGTTTGATCCTGACTTCTCTGATCTTCCCCTTTTTCAAATGTCCCCCTCTTATCTCCTGATAAGACATATCATGTGGAGTCACTCTGCACATAAGTTTGGTGTGTATTGCTAGAAAGGTTTTTTTTTTTTCTTGGGAGAGTGCATGTGATCAGCACGGGACCAATCAGCACTGTCCAGACAGAGGTCAGGGGTTCTGCATCCTCCTAGAGAAAAATGAATACTCCTCCTACAAACTTTAAGCTGTGCTTGGCTAGACACTGATAGAAGTCACAAGACTGTTCTAAATGCTGTTGAGAAAAGGTATTTAGCAGTTTATATTTACTAAAAAAAAATGTAATTTCTGTGTACTGTGGGAGACCAAATATAGTGAATGCAGGATCCTGGGTTAAAGCAGACTTCTAGTTGCACTGTGAAGAAATAAGTCCGCAGCTACAAAAGCTGTATCTGCTGACTTTTTAAAAACAGCCACTCACCTGTCCCACGATCCCACGGTATCTTCCCCGCAGCCCGTTTCCCCAGCCATCTGGTGTTCCAGGCGCCGGCATCTTCACCCGGCTGTGACAGCTTGCGGCTTGCCGGGTGCCCACTGCGCATGTGCGAGTTGCGCTGCGCTTCCTGAATGGCCTCATAGTCTTCTGGGACCTGTCACGTGTTCCAGAAGACTATAGGGAGGGAGGGTTAGGAGGACAACTTCAGCTTCTGATCGCCTAGGTGATCACAGTGGAAGTGGGAGCGGGTAATTGTCAATTTCGGGTACCTGCTCCCCAAAGGTGCCAATCCCTAACGGGAGCAGGGGACCAGTTTTTAAAGCGGAACTTCCCCTTTCGGGGTGGAGCTCCACTTTAAGTAACACTTTCATAATATGCGTGAACCCAGTATTAAATATTTGTATGTAAAACAAACCTCCATCACAAAACTTCCACAATCAATATACAGATACTCATGACTATATGTAGACCCATGAGTAGCTTATGTTACTACATACTGAATGCTCTTCCACATTGACACTCTAGCACAGCCTTTCTCAACCAGGGTGCCCAGGCAATCTGGGGTGCCTTGAGGATTCTTCAGGGGTGCCTTGGCAAAATGTCTAAAAATTGGCCAAAACTTGTATACAAGCCAGCAGGTGGAACAAGCCTGCCTTTTAGTTACACAAAGCCACAGGTTTTCATTGTGCGCCAGCACAACCTTCTAGCTGCCAGTGTCCTGACAACCAATGACATCAGTTGATAAGGAGGATGTCAGCTGCCTGCACAGCATCCTAGTTTGAGCCTCCCCTGCCCCTCTCCATCAGTGCTGCGGTTACATTAGCTCAGGGATGGAGAAATACTGAGGGGGAAGAGAAACACTGGAATACTAGTCAGTACCAGTGTGCAAAAGTGTATTTGCTTTGGAAAAATACATAACCTCTAATGTTGGGTGTCCTACATGTGTGGATGTTGCTGTTACAATAGTTCACATTTTAGAATGGGGTGCCCTTTTAAAATTATGGATTAGAATAGGGTGCCTCGGGGCTGTCCATAATTTTAAAGTTGCCTTGACTGAAAAAAGGATGAGAATCACTGCTCTAGCATGAGCTCTATCATATGCTATCATCTGTAATTATTTTTGTTAACCCTTCCCTATGGTCTTTCATGTATTGTGCCTTGGTTGTTTGTATTTCCTGCTCATTGTAAAATTCCATACAATCTATTGTTTAAAAAAAACTGTAAAAACAACTATTACAATGGGCAACTATTAACTCTCAGATTCCATGGATCAAGTTTGAATCTCAGTCTATACGCCCATTCTATTTACCGGGTATTTTGTGGTCCAAAATTTCCCCTCGCTCACTCACCTTCCATAACTCCATAGTGACCCACTCACTGACACTTTGGTCAAATACAAATTTAAATTGCATCTGCTCTCTTCTACTCCCCCAGGTGTTTCATTTTTTGCTGATCCTACGTTTATTGCAGCTTTTTCTTCTCCTCAAACATTTCGTTGGTGGTATGACCGCTCTCTTATCAGATTATCAGATTTTCAAAGAGGAGGATCTTATATTACCTTTGATATGCTGTGTATGCTTTTTGATATCCCTCTTCGTGAATACCATCGTTACCGACATATTAGACATTTTTTCGGTTCACATTTTGGCCTTACACCATCTTCTCCGATTTCTTTTTTTGAACGTATCTGCCGGGACTCTCCTCGTGGTAGGGGTCTCATATCTGATCTTTACCAACAATCTTTGATTTGCCTATTTCCTACACCCCCTCTATATAGACAAAAATGGGAGAAGGATTGTGGTATCACTTTTTCAGATGAGGATTGGGACTCCATGGTGGATAACATATGCAAATGTTCTCGATCCCTCTCTGTTCGTGAGACGGCCCTCAAGGTTCTAACCAGATGGTATTATACCCCTTCCAGACTACATATACTGTTCCCACAAACGTCCCCTTTATGTTTCCGGGGCTGTGGCCTCACAGGCACTCTGGTCTATGTATTTTGGAATTGTCCGTCCATATCAATGATTTGGCGCAAGATATCTGAGGTGGCTACCTCACTGGTGGGTACCCCGGTACGTTTGTCTTTACAGACTTGCTTGTTGGGAGCTCATATTCCGGGGGTCTCTGATGCCACTATGAGATTAATACATACTATATGTATTGCTACTTTATGGTCTATTGCCTTACATTGGAGGTCCAATTCTGTACCCTTAGCCTCCGTTTTACACAGAATAGACGCTGTAATGCTCATGGAACGTATTCATTATACCCTACTGGATAAGATGCACTTGTTTGATAAAAAGTGGGAGTCATGGAGAGATTATAGACATTTATTGCATACTTAACAACATCCCTACTGAAAGTTGATTGGCATATACTGTTGACAGATTTATCTCTCAATCCACCTTATTAGCTTTGTATCTCATGCACTAACAATCTGCTCTTTTTGTTTCTTCTCTTTCTTACATTAATATCTTTTTCTATATTGTGCTTTTCAGAAGTGCCTTGTTTCTACTGTATCATTTGTAAATGTACTGTTGTTTTACAGTCTACTTTCATATAATAAAATCGTTTGTAAACAAAAAAAAAACAAACTGTAAAATAAACATTTTATACATAATAAAATTATTTAAGACATCAGTAAAATTGACCAAAAGCCATTGTTTCCATTTCTTGACTTCACGTTTAAAATAATGTGTTTTACTTATTCATTTTGTTGCACTGATTTTTTATATATCTGTTTTCAGAATATGATAACAGAAGCATCACATCACTTATTTAATGCCACAAAAAGAAGATTCTTTTACAGAGAAGTGAAGATTATTATACCAGCCAGCTGGAAATCATACTTTTTGCAGAAGCCGAGGCATGAAGCATATCAGATGGTATTGTATGTTTAGATTTTACCTTTTTGAGACAGTGTGGTGAAATGGTGAATTTTGCTTGTCACCTTTCAATCTAGGAAATAAAGGTGAAAATATTAATGAAAAAAACGTGCATAGTTTTTAAGAAAATACTTTCATTGGATATTGTAATAAAGGTTAAGTATTATTAAAACTGGTGATGATTGACATGCATAACAGTAATGTAGGTCACAACCATTACACAAAACAAATTAAACAATAACAAACTGGGTCAATCTGTGCTGTCATCCAAATAGAAACCAAAAACGAAATCAATATGTGTATAAAATAGGATGCAAATGTTGAACATCAATAGGTCTTCCACATAACCTAATAAATAATCCAAATCAAAATTAGTGCAGCACAACCTAATGTGCAAAATTAAATTCTAAATAAAGAGCAAAAGGGAGGCTGCACTGATGGGCACTGATGAGGTGGCATGGATTGGCAGAACTGATAGGCTGCACTGGTGGGCATTGATGAGGAGGCACTGATGAGCGCAACTGTTGGGTGGCACTGATGGGCGCTGCTGGGTGGCACTGATGGGCACTGATGATCAGGGCACGAATAATCAGGGCAAAGATTCACTGACAGAGCCGAGTGCGCACAGGGGGTGTAGTCTGTGAGGACGTCATTTGACGCCCTCCCAGAGCTGGACAACCACACTGTAGCTGTCATTCGGCTATAACGTGGTTGTAAAGTGGTTAAAGTGACATTAAATCCAAATCAAAAACTAATAATACATGCTATATTACATTATGTTCATATTTACTCAACCACTAGAAAATGTGTTTTCTGTAGACTGCAGAAATCCTGGTTGATCCTGCTGTTCATTGTCCAACCCTCCTTGATGTCCCTGCTGCAGCCAGAGATTGTGTAGACCAGCTCTTGACATCTACTGAGCATGCATCAATTTCAGTTCCCATCTAAACTGTTCATTTGCTCCTTTTTTTTTAATCTGTGAAGCCCATATGACTATACAGTGACACCTATGGACATAAACAGTGATAGATGACACTCCCCTTCCCTACTCCGTCATATCCTCATATTGCTAAAAATTATGGGGGCAGGATATAAGATGTTGATTGATGGAGACTTCACCTCTGTTAGTCCCAGCACATACACGCCATAGAAACAGGCTGGAGGGGAGTGACAAAACCTGTGGGAGAGCCTTCTGAAAGTCTCTTTACATGTAAACATAGTGAAATCTATTGTCTATTTTAATTCTCTATTCTGAAAGCCTTTTTTATATCATGCGATCAGCACATCACCATACAATGCTGTGCAGGCACAGATTCATGCATCAGTGGGGTACTAGATACTCCTCTCTCCGAACTTTCGCCAAGGACAGGAAAGACTTGGCAAATGTCCTGTGACCTCTGAACAGTAATGACTAGATAAGGTACTCAGAAACCTAAAACCCGGTGGAATATGTTCCAAAGGTGAACTCATCCTGTAAGGCCTGGATTGGCCAAAAGGCATAAGCATGGAGTATAGTTTTATTCGGCTATATAACTAAATGGTTTCCATGAATTCAGACAGTGTCCTGGTATTTTGGACTATATACAGTATTTGTATATCCTGACAATATTTGAATGTTAATTCTGATTGTGACGGTAGCATAGGCAGGACAGAACGCACAAAGAGGATGGTAAGCACACAAAACTTTATTGAACTATGGAAGGCACTCAATTAGGACAGTTCATGGCACTCCACAGCATACGGCTTGTAGGGACACTCACGGTAAGCAGGCTCTCTAGGGACAGCATCAGGCTCACGGGGACTCAGAGGGACTTTGGCTGAGGGTCTGACCTCAGCACAGCTCCCACACAGCTCTCTAGGGACAACACCATATTCACGGGGACTCAGCTGGACTTTGGCTGGGGGTCTGACCTCAGCACAGCTCCCACACAGCTCTCTAGGGACAACACCAGGTTCTCAGGGACTCTGCGGGGGCTTTGGCTGTGGGGCCTGATTCAGGTAGCTATGGCTCAAGCACTCAGGAGGGCAGTCCAGGTAGCTATAATCCGGACATGCAATGGGGCGGTTCAAGCAAGGGTGGTCTGAGCGCACAATAGGGGCAGTTCGTGGCTTCTAGGGACACTCACGATAGGCGGCTTGCAGACACTCAGCAGCAGGCGGCTTCCAGGGGGGTAGGCGGCTTGCAGACACTCAGCAGCAGGCAGCTTCCAGGGATATCTGGGCTCACAACAGGCGACAGCAGGGGAGGGGCGAACCTTCTCAGCACACAGAAGAGCGGATAATCCGGACCACAGAGTATTAGGCAGGGTATCGTGGGGCCCACAGCAAAGCAGTTCTAGCACACAGCACAGCGGGTAATCCGGGCCCCATAGTATTAGCAGAGGGGCAGTGGATAATAGTCCTGACCTTTTAGCGGGGGTCTCCTGCAGAGTGCTCAGCGGGGATGGCTGCGGAGGCCCAGTCCCCACCCAGACCTCCCAGCGGCTTGCGAGCCAAGCATTGGCAGAAACAGAAGATGAACACGAGGAAGAGAGAGAACCAGGTCCCGAGCTGGCCTCTTTAAGGCCAGCCAGGACGCTTCCCAGTTGCCCTGGCAATGTCCGGCCCAGCACCTTGTTGCCGGGCAACGAGGCACGCCCCCTTGACTCGGACCGTCCTCTCGGGAACGCGGCCTTTGTCATTTGATGAGTGCAAGTGCGGGAAACCCCGTTGAGTTGCCCGCCCTTTCTCGGCCGAGTGGTCGGGGAAGTGCGGGCTTCTCAGCAAGGCACCGCCTCGCTATCCCTCCGGCTGCTCAGGATGGGGAGAGATAGGAGATGGGGGAGTGACAAAAGTCACACCTCTCATCCTGGACGGCCCGCATCAAAGGGCCGTGACAGGATGAGAGGGGGGAGAGGAGGGGGACGCTGCAGTGGGGAGAGGAGAAGAGAAACGGGCAGCCTGCACACTGTGATACTGACATTTTATCAGCTCATTTATTTAAGTTTAAATGAACACAAGTACTATATTGTGCAGTCATTAAATATGGTGGCTGCATTGGTTTTCATTTTTCAAGCTAAGAAAATTTTTAGCAAGTACAGAAAATGTCTTCTGAACTTGCCAGAAATACAGTGTCCTTGTCACTCATTGTCAGCTCAGCTGTGAACAAAAACAATGTGATTTTTCCTCTGTAACCTACTAATTACGCCACCTCCCATTTAATGGAGCTGAGCAAAGGCAGACATACTGTATTTGTAGTTCAGCCAGGGTGGCAATCATTGATCCCTCTATAGATTTTGGGTTTAGATACGCTTTAGGAAAATATAATGTAAATCTTATTATTCCCATGTGAATTATTTTTATTCTTTGTACTCTTAATTGTTTCAGGCAAGCATAATAGTCAACAAACCAAATGCATATTGTGGAAATGATCCTTACACATTACATTATGGAGGATGTGGAAAAGAAGGACGATACATACATTTTACTCCTGACTTCTTAATTGATGATAATCTTCTTTTGGTTTATGGTCTCCGTGGTAAGACCCTGCAGATACTGTTACAACATACTGGATATCTTCAGAGTGTACAGTGCTAAGACCATTGAAAATATCATGGGGCCACTCAGGTGCATTTTACATTCTACTGGTCATCAGCTTCTAAAACATAAGTGGAAATGTTAGTTTAGTGTATGTGAATGTAGCCCTAAATTAGATGTCCCTGCATTACAACTTTACCTTTGGAGAGACTCTTCACTATTCACAAGGCCTCCATGAGTGGCTGATGGCTAGAACTCAGTAATTTCATTCCAATATATTAGAAATTAAAAAATACACTTTGAAGTAGGTAGTTTCCTTTGCTGATGTCTAAATCTAAAATGATTGGTGGTTAGGGGGTAAGGAACCATGCTATATATTGTAGCATTGATACAGGTAATATAGGCGTTACACTTCATTTATAAATTATACAAGTCGATTAACCTAAAGTCGTATTTTACTTGTATCAATGAAACACAACATAGACCCAGTCCTACAGTAGGTTCTTTTTATTTATTTATTTTTGTTTTTTAAATATACGATTTTTCTGCAGTTGTCTTTCTTTTTTTTCTAGAGAAGGTATTTGTCCATGAATGGGCTCACTTCCGATGGGGAGTATTTGATGAATACAGCTATGAAGAACCATTTTATGTTTCAGTTAATGGCAAAATGAAAGCTACAAGGTAATTCAAGTAATGTCTCTTTCTAGCCTTAGCTGACAAGATCAGAATGAAAAATATAAAAACACAGAAAGGAGCACCAGACCAAAAAAGAGTCTAAGTTAAAGCGGAGTTCCACTCACTCTGTAAAAAAATAAAAGTCAGCAGCTACAAAAACTGTAGCTGCTGACTTTTAAAAAACAACCACTCACCTGTCCCTCGATCCCGCGTTGCTCCTGCCGCAGCCCGTTTCACCAGCCGTCCTGTATTCCAGGCGCCGACATCTTCAGTGTGGGCACCCGGCTGTGACAGCTTGTGGCTTCACAGCCAAGTGCCCACTGCACATACGCGAGTAGTGCTGTGCTTCCTGAATGGCCCCGTCATCTTCTGGGACCTGTCACGTGTCCCACAAGACTTCAGGGAGGGAGGGTAGGAGGACAACTTCCGCCCCCCCCCCCGCTCCCCAAAGGTGCCAATTCTTAATAGGGAGTGGGGGACCAACCTTTAAAGCGGAACTTCCCCTTTTGGGTGAAACTCCGCTTTAACTTTAGTTGTTGATTAAAAAAAGTCATATAATAACAGCCAACACATTTCGGGGACAATACAGCTCCTCCTTCATCAGGACCTTCATAAATTGTATTGAATAAGTTACTGTAGGTCAAGAAAGGGAAGAGGAGTTTATCTAGAGGATCACTGATAGGAGTGGGAAATTTGCCAGGCATTCTGGATGATACACACACTCATTGGGTCCAATATTTTGAACTTTCAATCGCTTGTGTTAAGAACTGAATTGTTTGACATCTACATGATAATGTTCATTAATTTTTCCTTAGATATGCCTAATTACAGCTTATCAGCTGAAACATTGCTTTTAGGTTATCTGTCGTGAATTACAAACACCATACTTAGGGCTCGTTCACACTTGACTAATTTCTAACTCTTCCCAAACGCCCCTATAGCATTTGACAGGCATTAGGGAAGCATTTTTAATGCTCCTCAAATGCTTCCCAAATGCCCTATGCACATTTTTGAGGCATTTGATAGGCGTGTTCCAAGCTTTAAAGCCGCACCACAAACGCCTATAATGAAGTTAATGGTATTAACGCCCCGCAAAAGCCTAGCAAGCATTTGAAGAGCATCACCATAGCCTTGAATGGGAGGCATTGAAAGGCTTCAACATCTCCTGACTCGACATCTCCTAGATTGTAAGCTCCAAGGAGCAGGGCCCTCCTATCCCTCTTTTATTGAACTGTATTGTTGCTGTATTGTCTCCCGTTATATTGTAAAGCGCTGAGCAAACTGTTGGCGCTATATAAATCCTGTATAATAATAATAATAATGTGGCGTCAATTTTTCCACGACGCTAACGCTTCAGTGTGAACAGCACTGTGTGCTGGCATGTGTATAATTTTCATAGGCATTTGAGGAGCGTTAAAAACGCCCCTCAAACGCCTACCTACAAAGCTAGTGTGAACTTAGCCTTATATGTTTGTATGTTTGCTTTGAGATTTGTATTATCAGACAATTTGACTTTAAACAGCATAGCCTGTCATATTATAACTTTCTCTGTGTATAGAAAACAAATGCTCACAAAAGATGAGAACACTTGCCATGGAGGAATGATGATTCAAAGTCACATTTTTATTGAGATGCTGTATTTTCATTCTAGATGTTCCACAGATCTAGCTGGCATGTATATTTGTAAGAAAAATGCCTGCTCGGACGGAGATTGCATAATTGACCCTCAGACAGGGAATTTAGAAGAGGGATGCCTGTTTTTAGCTAACAGTACCCAGAATGCGAAATCGTCCATAATGTATATGCAAGCACTATCTTCGGTAAGTAAGTTAACTAAGTTCACTTTGCAAACTAATAAATAAAAAAAAAAGTTTTCTTTTAAATACTGAATCAGTATTGTGAACCTGATGAGTACAATATCAATAATCAGTTTTATTGTTCTCAGTTTTGTTTTGTTTTTCTTAGTTGCATAAAGATTTAATTGAATTTATCCTAAGATGAATAAAAACAATTCAAAGTGATACAGTACATATAAAATGAAACAGAATGGTTGTAGATCAATAATCCTCTACCGCATTAGACAATGACAAACATTATCACACTACCTATATCCTCCAAAATAAATGGAAATAGAAAGAGGGGATCAAACTTGTCAGAGAGACACTAGAGTTTAGACCTTCGTAAGTTAGAAGCTAGAGCAGTATTCTCAGTTTGATCAGAAGTAATCCTCAATTTTGTATTTGTATGCATTTAGAAACACAATACTTTGACTACACAAGTGTAGTATCCTCCTAGCGTAGGATGCTTGGTTAATTTATTCTTTGCCATCTTCTGTATCAAGGCAGCAATGATCATTTGTCATAGTCTGTTCAGTGTTACATAGACTGTGAGTTTGACTGCTTCCCCTTGCCTCTGGAAGAAGCTTCCAGAGCTTAGGGAAGGAGATGTCACTAACCAGCTTGAATATTTATCATGCTCCAGCCAATCTATGGCGCGTAGTGTCCAGAAGGGGGCTGAGAAGGTGATAAATAGTCTGAAGCACTGAGGAGCTGGGTTCTCTCTCCCCAAAAGGGTTCCAGAGCCTCAGACAGCCCATGGACTCAGTAACTGTTCTTGAGGTCTCAGCAGTGTCAGGACTAAGGGACTGGATGGATCTTCCTAGAAGCTCATTACAAGGGATATGGTCTAGAGAAGGATTGTCTCACTAACTGGACTGAGTCCAGTGGATGCTGGAAAGAGGAAGCTATCCTAGGGATTTGTGAGTAAAGACCCTAAATTGATCCCTGTGACTGTGCAGTGTTCTAGAAATTACATTGGATACCAGTAGTTGTGCATAGGTGCAAGGTAACCAGATGCCAAAGAAACTTGCCTCATGGTCTTCAGCTGTGAGAGCTTAGACTGTCCAATTCTCACAAATACTTAGTGTTACTAAACCCACAACTGTAAAATCAGTCTGTATATGCAGTAAAACATGCTTGTTATACTCACTGTGGAACCTAAGGGGTTAATCCTCTTCATTGTGTAAAAAATGTTTGATCCTGTGTTCTCTGATCCTCCCCTTCTTCCACATTCCCCATTTAATCTCCTGATAGAACAGAGCCTTGGGGGCAAGCTGCACATGTTCCATTTGGTGTGTATTGCTAGAGAGTTTTTTTTGCTTTTTCTTGGGAGAGTGCATGTGATCAGCTCAGGGACAATCAGTCCAGACACAGATTCGAGGGTTATGCAATCTCATAGGGCAGTGAGAGGAGAATGAAAACTCCTCCTACAAGCTTTAACCAGTGCTCAGCTGGACACTGATAGAAGTCACAAAACTGCTATATACTGCTGATGAGAAAAGGTATTTAGCAGTTTATATTTTAAAAAATTGCATTTCCATGTTATGTGTACTGTGGGAGACCAGATATAGTGAAAGCAGGGTCCTGGGTTTGGTAACATTTCAAGGAGAAGATTTTTCTCTAATTGGCTACTGTGATAATAATTTTGGAGTATGCCGTAACCCCTCTCCTGTTAAAGGTTTTTCAAGCAATAAATCTAAAAAGACATCCCCTAGACCAGTGTATTCTCAACCTTTTTTAAGTGAAGGCACCTTTTAAAATTATGCACAATCTCAAGGCACCCCATTGTAAAATATAAAAAACTAAACTTACAGTTTTAAATGACATAGTAACATTCACATGTGTAGGACACCCAATTGTAAAGGTGATTTATTCTTCCAAAGCAAATCCACCTTTGTACACTGGTAATGACCAGTATTCCAATGTTTCCCCTCTGCCTCAGTTTATCTCCCTTACTCAGATAATGTGACCTCGGTGCTTATGGAGAGGGGCAGAGTAGAGGGATGCTGTGCATGCACCAAACATCCTCCTTATCAACTGGGCAGTCACTGGTTGTTAGGACACTGGTGGCTAGAAGGTTGTAGTAGTGCACAATGAAAACCTGTGACTTTGTGTCACTAAAAGGCAGGCTGATCCATCCTCTGACTTGTGTGCAATGTTTGGCCACTTATTAGGTATTTTGCAAAGGCACCCTTGAAAGCAGCTAAAGGCACCCTGGTTGAAAAAGACTGGCCTAGACAGTGTTATTGGAACAGGTGTGAATGAACTGTGCTTGCAGGGATGGGCAGCCTCTGTATTATTAGGGAGGAACCAGTTGATACCAATGGACCCTTGTGGGGCTAGTGCTACATACGTTTTTAGAGAAATATATCTAAATGGTCAGTGATACAAGAAACACAGAGAGCAAATTACATTGCCCATGTATTAGACAGTACAGTCCCAGTAAACCTTTGTGATGCTATCTGAATTCCAATTAGAATACTTGAATTTACTTCTTTTTTTTTTTTACACAGTTGCAGAGGGGAAGCATTATTACTTCAACTTCTGTCTACAAGAAATGATCAAACAGGGCCTCATATTTAAACATATTCAAAAGAGGCATGTTTTTTATAGCAACATATGGCATTTCACCTATTGTTTTCTAGCATATGTTAGAAAATGCAAGCTTGATAAATTGCTATGGGCAAAAAATACTATTACTCCCCTGTAGATTTAATGCATCAGGACTACCTTTATTTATACACTAAGGAAGAATAATTAACTGTCTAGCTATCTTTATGGAGGTGTGCAGGTATTATTTATAATATAAAGTGACTATATAGTTATATATAATACTATAAATAATACCTGTATGCTTTTGTATTTATGTATATTCTTATGTATATTCTTCACTGTTTATATTCTAACACTGTTCAATGATTTTTCAAGGTTGCAGAGTTTTGTTATGAACATGACCATGAAACGGAAGCTCCAAATATGCAGAACAAAATGTGCAGTTACCGTAGCACTTGGGATGTTATTAGTAGTTCTCATGACTATAAGTCCACATTGCCAATGTCAGGAACAGAACTTCCATCACCACCATCCTTTTCACTTTTGCAGTTCAGAGAAAGGATTGTCTGCCTAGTTTTGGATGCTTCTGAAAATATGGCAAAGGTAATCATCCAGTTAC